TTACCATACATCGTATTTGAAGAAATAACTATACCTCTTTCGGTTTCCTCTAGATTTCTACTTAATCCATTTAGTGTAAATTGTTCTTCAATTCGAGTATTTATATATTTTCGAAACTCTAGAATTGCCGCCCAAAAATATGCATTAAGTATAAGCATGTATTAAGTTTACACGACGCATAAATACTTTTATTGCAGAAACATCTCTTTTATTAATTCAAAATAAGAGAACTCAGAAAATCGCTAAAATGTTCGACGTTTTGCAGCGGCATCAAATTATCTCGATTGAAAAATCAACAAATTAGTGATATGTGTAAAAACATAGATGTTCAAATACCTTACTGATTACTTTACAAAGGAGAATAGTAAAACCAAAACATAGAAGCAGACTCGTGATGACAAACCATTGCTCTTCACCAGATTTACGAAGAATTGAAGCTCTTGTGATTTCCATTTCTGCATGTACTTTGACGGGAGCCTTAAAATATACATATATTATTATATTATTATACAAAAGCCTACTGCAAGTGAAACCAATTGTTAATTTTTCGCTTCGTCCCGAACTATGCATTTTTTTATTCGCCGTTTTCCGATGCTCGCTCATTAAATTCTTGAGTCTGATTAGTCCTCGCTGTTGCACTTCATTATGTTAAATATCAAATAGCGAGTTATGTTATGTATATTACCTAAAGAAATAATGAAAAAAATGACTTGTTTATTCTTTAACAATCAATCAATCAATTATTATGTGCAGGCTTCGACTTATGAATTATAAGCAAGTTGTATAAGGTTTACTCATGGATATTAATCAAGAAGCTGGTACCATAAAGTAAGCCTTGTTGTTAGGATACAATCAACTTTAGAAAGTGGATGTGAGTTTGAGAATACTCTTTTTTCGCGCTTTGCATAAATGAAAAAGGAACACGAAAATTTTATTTAGCTCCATATGCCCAGTAATCTCCATTACAGAAAGGAGAATAAATATTCTGTGAGAATAACGCGCCAATACAAAAATATAAATACTGTGGGTTAGCAAATTTGCAGTATAAAAAAAAAGTTTACAGGAATATTAATTTCTTAGTATGGTTTGAAAATTAATAATAAAAAAATAATTTAAATTTATAAAATATTTTTTATTAAATTTTTTATGTTATTTTTTTTAAAAAAAAATAAAAAATAAAATAAAATAAATTATATATATTAAATTGTATAAAAGTTGCAAGTTGAATATTATTGCATAACAAATTATATTTAGAAAGTCAAACTTATAAATATCAATATCATTTATTAAAATAAAAGTTTTTGATATTTAAGTGTTTATATAAAAAGTTTGATAAATTTTTATAAACTTGAATATATTAAGAAAAATTAAAGTTTCTTTTCAATTTACTATATATTAAAAATTATTTTTATAAAGTTTTTCTTTAATAAATAATATTTATGGAATATTATTGAATAGTAAAAACACAATTAATTATTAATAAAAAAATTTATTTTATTGTAATAATATTATTTAAATTGAAATAAAAAACATATTTTATTTTTAATTTTTTATTTCTAATTATATTTTATGCTTATTAAAGTTAATAAATTCAAGTTATATTCTTATATATTATATTATATAGTTTAAATATTTTATTTCAAGTTTATTTCATTTAATTTTTTTGATTTAAAGATTTTTAATTTATTTTTGAAAATGAATATTATATAAAATTTATGTATATTATATAAAAATTAATACAATATAAATCTTTATTAATTCTATATTGATATAAGATATAAATAAAGTTGTATATCAAAAGTTTAATATTTGATCAAATAATTAAAAACAAATTCTTTAAATATTTAACAAATAAAATTTTATAAATTACTTAGCTTACATACTTTTTTAAAATAAAATATTTATTTATTTATTTTAATAAAAATATAATTTAGAAATATTATAGATTAAATAATCTTAAATAATAAAAAATCATTATAGATTAATTATTAATTTAAAAAATTTATCATATTTCTTAATAAAAAATATTTGAATTGACTTATATTTTTACTTTTTTTTTTTTCAAACCTATTTTAATCGAGATAATATTAATTTAATATGTTTTTTAATTAATTGTAAAAAGTTCCAATTAATTGTTTTTAACTATTTCTAATTTCTTTAAATTTAAGATATAATAAAAGTTAATATAACAGTAATAAATAAAAACTATTGAATTAAGAGAAATATAAAGTTTTTTAAATAAATATAAACTAATTTTAACTATAGTAAAGAATAAAAAAATTTGATAAATTATTTATCAATTAGTCAATTTATAATTATCTTTATAAATTTTGGTTTTGTTATTAATTTAAAAAAAATATTTAAGAATTTTACTACATATTTAAAAGATTAATTGTATGGATTTATTTAATTAATAAATTTAATTGCACAAAAATAGTATCAGTGAAACTGTTAATAGTATAAATAATTAATGGAAAGATCTCCCATTGTTTTATTATTGTTTATATATAGAGAGATAAAAGAGAATTGGTGCAAGAAAACCTATTTATTTATTGGTAAAATTTGCGAGCTTTATCAAAAATAACATGGAAAAGGAAAATTTTAATTATGAATTGAATTTAGTAAAACCAGGCGTGCTCGCAATAATTTGAAATTAGCATAAACAAAGTTGCCAAAAAAAAAGACCGAGAATACTTGTTAATGGTTCCTTACCGCATTTAGGAAGAAAAGTGTCATGTGAAATTTTTCAACAAGTATCAAGTATTTTTTTTATTGATAGTCTGTAATGGAACTATTTAATATAAAATGTAAGTTTATATGAATTAAGGCTTACATATACTGTATATACTGTATAATACAGTCCAGGTGATATGCGTAAAAAAATCAAGTATGCATGTATTCAGTTGATAAGATCAGGCAGTAATCCGGTTTATTGATAATTCCGACGTAATACGGTTAGAAATATAAATTAAAACAATATTAAACAATTCATAATATTTTTTAGTCTTAATTAATTTGAAGTCCAAGTTCGAGAAATAATAAGGTTGACATGTCAAACTAATATTATTTAAGGGTCACTTGCCTCTACGTTATCAAAGAATTACTGATTGTCACGTGACAAAATAAAGACCATTGAATGTTCTAATCTCTGATATATTCGAAGGCCATTTCGTGTGTTGTAAAATGATCTTAGGTAATATACAGTATATATATATATATATATATATATATATAGTTAGATAATCGATTCGTGAGTGTTTTCATATAAGTTTAACGAAATAAACCTCGATCTTTTAATTACCTCCTCCATTATTATCATCTATTTGAACGTTCTCGTCTTGAATGCTTGGGGACTCCAAAAAAGAAAAGTCGGAGTAGTCCAAATTGAAAGTTGAAAAATGGAGATCTGAAATAAGAAATCGAGTTGTATATTAAGTTGCATATTCCTAAATGGACCTCATTTTTTAATTACCTTTTTCACCATGGTTAATTTCTTGGTTGCTCTCAATTTGACTTTGAGGGAATGTCAAAAAGGAGCTCGATTGACCTTGGTCAAAAGCTGAAAGACAAAGATTTAGGATGGATGATTGATTTGAATTCTATGCGGAATAGGTTTATCACCTTTGTTATCATAATTGTCTGTGTGAGTTCTCTTAATTGTTGAATTATCAATGTCATAATCTGTAGAAAAAGTCTCGTAGTTTTGATTGATATCTTTGACATCTTTATATGATTTTATCATGGTATCCAAAAATTCTATTGTAAAATTTAATTTAAAAATATGGTTTTATAATTCCCATAAGCACCTTACCAACTTACCAGAAGTAATTTCGATTCTATGGTTACAATCAGAATGAAGGAGGTAAGATTTCTTTGCACTAAAATCCGAAAGGACTCCGTAGTTAGAAGGAATGTTTTCGAATGGATCTAATTTGATAGGTGAGATATTAGATATTTTATATAAAACATTAGTGATTCAATAAGACAAAGAAATTGCTTACTTCTTATAGTCGCCTTACAGTTAATGCATTGCGACAACGGATCTTTATGGACTTTGTTTTTTTTATAGCAATCCGTGCATTGATACACACACACTTCTCCCGTCTTTTGACATCTCTCGCACTTAAAAATTCCAGGATCATTTCCTCCTTTACATGATTTTTTCGCATTGATACAGCTTCTACATCTTTTCACTCTTGTTTCTCGTGGTATTTGACCGGTCTCCGCACTATCATCATAACCTTTTAGATCTGAAGTCTACGCATCGATTAATTCGATTAGCATTTGAATGAAATTTTAATCTCGGTATTCCGTGCGTCGCTAGTCAATAAAGGCTTCATATAATGTCAAAGAAAATACTAACGGTAAAAGTAGAGTTATTTGACTTTTTCGATAGATATATACAAGAGTGACCAAGTCTGAGGCATGATCTGCATCTTTCGGAATAATAATCACGTTCACATTTCCGTTTGTTTTTACGACATGGTTCGCAAGCAATGAAAGAATATTTTCCCCTTTTCATATCAATTCTAGAACATCGTTATTGCTCGGAATTTCTCTCAATAAATGCTCAAACGGTTACACCACAAAATTAACAAGACGAATAACTTGTAACCTGATCTGTTCGCACAGAATGTTAAACAAATGACTAAAATATTGACACGTAGTCACTAGAAAGGTCAGCCACAAGAATCCATATATGGCAAACAAGGTATTGATAAACGACCTGATTAATATTTTTTAATAAACCTAATCTTGATAATATAATCATGGTTTATTTATTAATTAATATTTTTATTATAAAAGTATTAATTTGAAAATAAATATTATTTTATTGATTAATTTTATGAATTTTACTTATAAAAGATAGTGGAAAATATAGATAATAAATTTATATAAAATTTAATTGTCAAATTAAAAAAAAAAATTTTTTTTTTTTTTTGATTAAATTATTTTTTATATAAAAAATTAATTATACGAGTTTTAAACAATTTTTATTTAATTATACAATATATATATAAATTTTTAAAATTATTGACTATTTGATTTAATTTATAATTGATAAAAAATTTTATTAATAAAATATTATTTTTTAAATACTGTATATTTATTTTTATTTAATATCAAAGTAATTTTAATAAAAATTTTTAATTTATTTTCAAATTAAATATTTATAATTTTTTTGAAATATTTAAAAAAATTTTTTAAATAATCTTATTTTTTATATTTTAAAAATATATAAATAATAATTTTTACTTTATTTTATACTGTATCTTGAATATTAAAGACCTATGGGTCAATAGCGCAGTGGTTAGTACTCCATTGGTCAGATCATAAGATACAAGTTCAAATTTCTCGGGGGATATGAACATTCATCTATTGGCCTAACCATATATAACCAACGTTTCTGATTATAGCTACTGATCAGCAGAGAAGGAACATGCTAATTATGTAGACGGTCTATAAGAAGATTGTGATTGGACCAATCTCCAAAGTCAAAAGTTAGGACTATCCTGAATTGATAATTTTGCCTCTGGCAATAAGAAGAGCAAATTCAACTGACCGATAGAGTGCCTCTGTTACATACATTTGACCTTGCCGTGCAAACACTGTCTCAACTATTGGGAGGCCTTGGTGGGAAGGACTACCTGTAAACCACTTTGAAGGATCAAAATACTGGGTCCAGGATAAAGAAAATTTGATGGCCTGATAATCAGCCTGCTCTTATGACCCAAAAAGGTACTGGGAACAATCAAGAAGGAATCGTATGGCTTTCCGATAAGGTGGTACTTATACATATAGCATAGTCTATATAATTAGTTAAATATAGATAGATGTTAAGAATAGTTGATGTATATAGTACTTATTTAGCGTACACAGTGTATAACAGAGTAATATATGTCTGGGGGGAAAAGGGATATATAAATATATGTACTGTTACTAAGTAAACCCTAGGTCAGGTTGAATGTAAAAATTAAAATTTGCTAAATAAAAGTCATAGGCGCAGATGACTGTTCTAAAAAATCTCTCCTTCCTGTTCAGCAAGAGTAGTTCGCTCACATATATAGTTAAAACCTGGCTGGAGAATAATTTCACCAAAGGGATATGGAAGAGTTTCCCACAATACCGAGACAACCTTAAGTAAAGTTAAATTGACTGGCACCGGTACTTGACTTGGGAGTTAATAACACCATCTGAAATGATCAACAAGCCAGCATATGGATATTACTGGGAGTTATCACAAGATAACACGAGACATTATATCAACACCACCACTCTAAGTACATTAACGACAAGCACATTCAATAGAGATATTGAACAGTGTGAACTCAAGTGAAAGTTTCTTCCCCCTGTATAAGTTGCACAGTAACTTATCTATCAGCTCAAGTTTCTTTTTAAACTCATAAATAGCAGTGGTAGTATCTGAAAACTAAGAAACACATGACATCATTTACACATCTTCTCTCCACATTGCTAATTTAGATTTTTGAACATATTCTTATTACTATTAACTATTTTTAAGGGTTTTTTCATAGTTAATTAGTTCATTGGAATCCAGTTTACATACATGACCATAGATTTAGACATATCCCCATCCTTTGTTTTTTTTTACCTTTTTTGAAGGACAAGATACCAGTGGCACTTCGAGTACACTGACCTCCTGAAATTGTATCTGGCAGACAGCAGGGATCCTTATCAATGTATTTTGTTGTCAAACGATAGATAGGTTTAAATTTTATCTGGAGTATAGCCTCTCCGAATGAATATACTTGTCTATTAAATTTCAATAAAATGGTCTGTCTTGTTTTTTTAAAAAAAAAATATATATATATATATCTTGAATATTAAAATATAAATAAAAATTATAAAATAATTTTAATATAAAAATCTTTATATTAAACTATATGATAAAATTTTATAATTGATATTTATATAAAAATTTTTATATTATATAAGTAATAGTAAAAAAAAAAATTCTTTCTACTGATCCCCCTTTTACTTGAAAATTTCTTTTTTTAGTAATTTTCTTGGAAAAGAGAAGTGAGCTTAATATACTTTACCCCTCAAAGATTTAAAACATAATAACAAACTATAACATTTAATCACTTTTCCAAAGTTAATCTATCAATCAAGAGAAGTATAAACAGTACAATATTATTTTAGTTCTACTTTACTTTATTTTATAAAAAAAAGAAAACATATCTACAAACTGATTCACAGTAAGTTTAAAAGAGTCCAATATCAACTTTTCAAGCTTCTAGCCAGATCAACATCAGTCTATACTTTTTTAAACACTAGAAAGAACTTAATCAGTAATAGTTCTCATCAATAAATCAGGAAAAACTCAAAGTTCATAAAATCCAGAAGAATATCCTAGACATCCAAAGACTAAACAGTAGAGTATTCTGATTCTATATACATCTGTCTAAACAATAAAACAAATTAAGTAAACATATACACATTAAATAAGTTAGTATTAAAACATTATAACAAGGTTTACCAAAAATCTATAAATAAATGATCCATTATTCATAATAAAGAAGATCAATTTCAATTCTGATAAACAAGTAGATTAAAAAAGGAAGGATCAATAACTTATCTGAATAAACAACATTCTAAACAAGTCAACAAACAAGCAACTTCACAAACCTTGCTAAATATAAATAAACAAAAAAGATAAAACAAAATAACAAATTAGTAATTTATTCTTCTTTACACATGATCAATATAACAAAGGAATAGAAAATTATGTAAATTGTAAAGAAGAAAGAGCTTTATATTCTTGATACAATAGTCAAAATAATTAAAAAGTATGACCAGAGAAAAGAAACATGGGCTATTCAAATTATCTTTAACACTCTCACTATACAAAACAAGTTCAATTAGATATGAAAACCAGTAGAATACTTGATAATTGATAGTATTCTTGCAAAAATCCTAAATGTAGATCAAACTATATTCATTAAAGCTAAGATCCTCAAACAACATATCCTATATCTATGGAAACAAGATCAAGGAAAAGAAGAAAACCTTATGACACTCTTCTTGAAAGAAAAGTCAGACACATCTTAAAACAAGATACCATCACAAATAGTTTATTCTTCTATATCTTTTAAACTTTTCAAACCAAGAGTAAGTTCACAAACTCTATAATTGAAAATTCAACCTCAGATAAGAATATCTTTCCAAATGAAGACATGGAAGTTCAATCAACAATTGAGATTGAAATTTCAAAGAATACTGAAATCGAAATGGATGATAAAGAACTGAAGGAAAAGCTTGAAAAAAAACTTAAAATGAAAAATATTTAGAAAAGAATTGAAGGAAAAAATATAACAAAACAAATCTCCTATAATACATAGAATAGATCCAAGCCATACAACCTAAATCCATTTTATATCACTAAAAGAGAAGAATTCAAGATTGAAATTCTTATCTCTAGAATATCAGGAGATACGGAAAAAGAACAAATAGCCTATCTTCAAGATATCCTAAGTCTATCCAAAGACATGCTATCATTCAAGCAAAACTTTCTCAATGATAATGCCTGAGGATACTTTACAATATATAGAAAAGATCGATAAGAAAGAAGGAAAAAACTTTACCTTGATTTCTATACAAGTAGAAAAATGGAAAACTTCATACTCACTATCAAAAAAAAAGTTCTTCAAACAAGAGATAGCAAAAAAAGAGAACAAGATAGTGGTTGTTATACTAATTGATCATAATTACAACTATACT